CGAGGGCCAGGGCCACCTTTTCTATCTGTTGGTATCTGCTTTCGGGTCCTTGTAGGGCTTTGCTCGTGAAGTAGACGGGCTTCTGTCCGTCAGTGGTCTCGCGGACGAGGGCCGCGCTGATGGCTTCGTTCGAAACGGCCAAGTACAAATACAGTGGCTCCCCGTCGTCTGGTCGAGATAGCACGGGCGGCTGAGATAGACTTTGCTTTAGGTGGCGTAGTGCCTGCTCGCATTCCTCATTCCATTCGAAGGCTGCTTTCTTTCGAAGGAGTTTGAAGAAGGGGAGGGCGTGTTGAGCGGATCTCGCGACGAAGCAGGATAGCGACGTGAGCATGTCGTTCATGATTTGTATCGACTTCTTCGACGTTGGTGTTGGGAGGTCGGAGAACGCCCGACATTTGTCGGGGTTGGCTTTGATTCCCCATTCTGTTAGATAAAATCCAAGAAATTTTCCTGCCTTAACCCCGAACGTACATTTCTCGGGGTTGAACCTCATTTTACATTGTCTTTCTTGGGCAAAGACTGTCTTGAGGTGTGCTGCGTGGTCGGTGTCTGCTCGGGACTTGACGATCATGTCATCCATATATACCCGAGCATGTCGCCGATCTGTTTGTTGAAAACTCTATTCATCATGCGCTGGTAAGTTGCCCCGGCATTTTTCAGTCCGAAGGGCATTACGTTGTAGTAATAGTTGCCCGAGCTGGTCATGAATGTCGTGCAGTGTTTGTCGCCCAGGGCCATCGGGATTTGGTTATAGCCCGAGTAGGCGTCCATGAACGACAACGTTTTGTAGTCGGCCGAGTTGTCGACCAGCATGTCTATGTTAGGCAAAGGAAAAGCATCTTTCGGGCAAGCCCGGTTGAGATCGGTATAATCAACGCACATCCTCCATTTTCCATTATTCTTTTTAACAAGTACAACATTTGACAGCCAGGTGGAATACCGGGCTTCAGAAATAAAATTTGCCTCTAGGAGGTCTTTTACAGCTTTTTTAGCAGCCTCCGTTTTTTCTGGAGACTGCCTACGCCTACGTTGTACTACGGCCCTAGCGGCTGGATCAATGGCGAGGTGGTGACAGGCGACCTCAGGGTCGAGTCCGGGCATCTCCGCGGCACTACAGGCGAACAGATCAGCATTCTTGCGCAAACAGGCCTTGATTTGCTTCCTGGCCAAGTCGGGGAGGTCTTTGCCAATCTTCACTCCCTTGGTCGGATCTGTGCCGAGGGGGACGAGTTCAAAATCCCCGTCCGGTATTGGTCGGCGTGGGATTTGCTCGCCGCTGGATGGCTCGTCCTGGTCGAAGCGGGTGTCTAGAGCTATGGAATCGACTTTTGGTGGAGCTTTCTGGACTTCTTCCTCGGGGGATGCTTTCCTGTCGGGCTCCTGTCTTGTCCTTTTGGCGGGTCTGGTCCCTATGTCGACAGTATCACGTCCCTTAGAAGCGACGTTGAAGCACCTGCGCAGCGGCCAAGTCTCCTTGGATAGTGGCTACCCGTGCCCTCTTGGTGTAGAACTTCATCTTCAGGTGGACGGTCGAGGGCACCGCTGTCAGTTCTGCCAGTGTTAGTCTCCCCAAGATGCAGTTGTACAGAGATGGGCAGTCGATGACGAGGAAGCGTACTTTGACCTGTCTCGTACCCGTCCCCTCGCCGAACGTAACCAGAAGCTCGACATATCCCCAAGGCTTAAAGGTCGAGCCGTTGAAACCTTGTAAGTCCGAACCCACATACGGCGAGAGATGTGAGTCGTCTAGCTGAAGGGTTCGGAACAGTTGGCTGTACATGACGTCGACGAAACTCCCTTCGTCGACCAGGATGTGATGTACATCAAAATTGGCCATTCTTGCCCTTATCAGTAAGGGGATGACCGCGTTCGGGGCTCCGCCGGGGAGTTCTTCCAGGTAGAAGGTGATGGGCTCTGACCTGTCCTTCACCCTTTCGAACGTCACTGTTTGCGGGGGAGCCGCGTCGACCAGTTCGTCCAGCTTCCTCTTGGCTGAATTGATGGTCAAGTCGTTGAACTCGCCGCCATTGATGACCAGGGCGGAGGGGAAGTATTCCCACCTGCTGTGCGTTGTAAGTGGCTCTTGCAGGTGCTCGGGGAAGTCAAAATCCTCGGGCCTGGTCACGGAGAAGGCAGTTTGGATGGGCACCGACTCGTCAGATGGTCGGGCGTCTTCTTCTGGCTCCCTGGTTTCTTGGGCGTCACGACGGGGAGCGTCACTTCGCCGGTACTGCGCGAGCCTCCCTCCCTTGATGAGGGTTTCAATGGCGTCCTTGAGGTGGACGCAATCCTCAGTCAGGTGACCATGGCTCCTATGGTACTGACAATATTTGTTTTTGTCTGCTCTGGGCTTAGCGGGAGCAGGTCGGGGACGTTTGACATCGCCGTCCTTGAAATCAGTGCTGGCACACTCCGCCAGAATGCGCTCGCGGGAAGCCGTGAGCGGAGTGTACTCGGTGAAACGCCCCGAAGGTCCTCTTTGTTCCCGGACTTCCCGGGGTCTGTCTTCCTTCCTTTTCTCCCCGATTCGTCGAGGAGGAGCCTCTTGGCGCGAGCTGCTGTTGGGACCACGAGTCCTGGAATCTCGGGCTCTGTTGGCCGCCTCCCTCTCCTCGTAGTCCATGTATGCTCGGGCCTTTTTGAGGAGGGCATCGAATGTCCGAGGTGGCTCGATACCCACGGCCTTTCTGAATTCCGTGCCGGGGAAGAGCCCTCTCTCCAGCAAATATGAGAGAAAATATCTTTTCATATGGTCCGCGCAGGGGACATGTATTGCTTCCCGGTTGAAACGGTTGATGAATTCCCTCAAGGTTTCATCCTGTCTTTGGATGATGGCCTCGAGAGCCGCCTCGGTCTTCGGATGGCGTCGAGAAGCTGTGAAGGAACTGATGAACTGGTTCTTCAGGTTCCGCCACGAGGTGATTGAGCCCGGGGCGAGTCCTTTGTACCAGTCCATTGTCGCCTTCCTGAGAGTCGTGGGGAATAGACGACACTTGATGGGGCCCCCGACATTGTGATAATGAAGCATAGCCTCGAACCCGTCTATGTGGTCGACCGGGTTCGCGACTCCATCGTACTCCTTCAAGTGAGGGGGCTTCTCCATGCCCGGGGGAATGAGTGCCTCCATAATAGCCTGTGACAGGGGACCGCTGGGGTCGTCCTCGTCGCTTCTCTCCAGAGACAAAGATGGGGACCTGTAATATTGTCTGGCACGATGGTCTAGGTCGTGCTGAGTTTCTCTCGAGCGGGATGCTCGGTTGTTGAATTTCACACGCCCATCTCCGGAGTGCCTTCTTTCTAGTATCGTCGGGTCACGACTGGGTTCTCCGGCCTGAATGATGAGCTGCCTCTCCAAATAAGGCCGTTTCTGTTTTGGCCGGAGAGATTGGCTTCGAGAGGTCTCCCTGTAATGTCTCCGTGGGGGAGATGAGTGTCGAGCTTCAATCACTCGAGGAGGAGGGGTATGTGGTCTCTGATGCCTCCTCGGGGATCTTCGCTCGTCTTCAAGCGCCTTTAGTCTCTCTCCTTGGGCGAAGATGAGATAGTCCGTTTAATTAATTGCTGCGAACAACGCTTGTGTTGTGGCATCCGCCCCGGAGGGGACGGGGACTTCCTGGAACCGGGCGGCTCTGTAGTGCGCGAGGGTCGCCGGGTCGTCTTCAAGTGGTGGTGGGAGCGAGGAAGATGATGCAGTAGCTCCGTCTCGAAAGGTGGAACTTCCGGGAGCAGTTGTCGCAGGAATGGTGTTGTGGCCGGGGTTGTCGGCGTTATCAAGATGTCCGTTTTTGTCCGCGGTACCGTTGTTGGTGTCGGCGACGCGGACGTTCTGCTCATCGCGAGCTTGATCAGCCATGACAGGTAATTGAATTTGAGCTTTGGTCTTTGAGTTTGCAAGACGGGAAAGCTAATTTCCCACAGACGACGCCACTGATCTGACCTGATCAGACTTGGACCGTCACGGCTGATTCCGAGCTGAAATTTTGAACGAGTGGAGGGGAGGGGTACCTGCAAGACACTCTGATGCTGAAGTAAGTAAGAGCACGAGCAGGCAATAGTAAGAGTATGGGTAGAATGATGAATACCTGACCCTCTGGAAATATAGGGTATTTATAGCCCCTAGCGCTGGGCCAAGGTTCCTTCATTGGGCCGGGCAGGTTTGGCCCAATGGAGGAACTGCCAGGTTCTACGTGCGTAGTGGGGACCTGCACGTGGTCCCCTCCCTGAGTATTCTGCGTGAAGTGCGGGCGGACAGAGACGCGGTCTTTTCGGAGTCCCGTTAAGGATGCAGTGGGTCGTGTCCACTGGCGAAGGAGCGCTCGAGCTGATGTCGAGCTGGACAATACGAAGACGGGGGTGTCGCCCAGTGACGTGTGTCGGGCATAGCTATGATCCTTAGGTCGGCGTGACCCCTAGCAAGTCCAATTGGATTTGGCCTTTATCGTTGCTATTGAGCCAGTCCAGAACAAAAGGAATTTATAAAACCAAATAATTTCTAATTGGAATGGGATTAACTCAAACTCAGACCACAACTTCCTATGGTCTGTTTCTAGAGAAGAGGATAAGGGGAAGATTGTCAACTGATTTGTCACATATTCAATCTTTTGCATGATCGTTTGCTTTCGCGTGAAGATATTTCCTAATTACCACCTTACTACTAATTGTCACATCCCATTTTAAAATATATTGATTCTAAATCAACAATAAAATGGAAAAATAGCTGCCTTATTTTTTTAGGAGGGTCTCCTTAGATGGCTGGAAGCAATCCTTGTGTACAATTTTTTGTAATGAATTTTGCATTAGTTTGAGTTACAAGACATGAATGAGCACACCAAAAAAGCAATTACATAAAGACGCTACACTAAAACAAATGATTAATTGCTCATAGGCCCTGATGTTCCATAGTGTTTTACATGTACAGAAGGTGGCAAGAACTTCAAAAGATTGAGCTATACATACAACGTTACTTCAGCAAATGAAAAAGTTGATGGCAAGAACTACTACTCCTCTTTCACGTCTAAGGACTGCAGTTCAGCTAAAAGCTGATTATATTCATTTTGGGCTTCCTCTATTTTACTTCTAAGCTCCACCACCTGCACAATCATAGCCATTACTCTTAGATCACTAAGTACAATAAAAATCACATTTTACAAACACTGAGATACAAACTTCAACCATATAATTTCCGGTGAAGAATTGTGTTTCTTCTTTTCTGTGTCTTTTTATATATAGTTTAGAATAATTCTTTTTAAGGCAGAATCCAAGAATCCTAGTACTCTCAATAATTCTTCGAATATAACACAACCAACAGTACAATGTACAAAAGCTGTTCTCTATGAATTAGGCAACAGGAAAATCAAAGTCATTAACCAAACTTGCCTTGGAATTAAGTTCTTCACCTCTCTTTTCCAATTCTAAACATCTGCAGGGAGAGAAGAGTACAAATAAGATATGTAACTGCCATTTGTAATTCAAAATAGGAGAAATGAACTGAGTTGGGTAAATGTTGCTGAAATCAAAAGGGAGTGAAACCAATTCAGCTTGCTAGACAATAGTATTATATACAATCAAGAATTAGCATACTGGCAGTAATTAGATATACACTCACTCTGTATGTAGTTTCTTATTTTCTTGCATCAAATTTATAGTCTCTGGGTTTACAACCTCGTCTGCAGGAGTTGTGGTGATCTACATAAAATGCAAGGATGAAATGGAATTAAATACTTTACAAAGAACTAAATTGCAGATTCTTAAGTCCAAGGAAATCAAGTAACTAATCAGAGTGGAAATGGGCGGTTACTCTCTAGAGTACTGCAGAAAACATTATATACACCAAACGATGTCGGTAAACTGGAAAAGATGGAGCATGTGTGTCAATAAAAGGACAAATTGGTACTACGAAGCTCCAACTACGATCCAACCACGGCGGGGACATTATTAATCATCCAATGGCCACATAACCACTGTTAGACACCCATCAGCACCATAACGGCCACATGGACTTTTTTGAACAGAGTTAAACGAAAACTCAAAAGGACAATGTCAGGACAATGTAGTGCATGCTATGATACATAAGATTTAGTTGGGAAAAAATATTCTAAGAACTAATCTAGTACAATTAAATTAGTACAATTAAATTACTACTAGGACCGCAAAAACAATTTCATCTATTTAATTACAAAATGGTCGCAGAGTCGCACATCGGAGATGAGGTCATGTGCGAAGCATTCGGTCAGAGAGCCCCATTCAATAGTTGCAGCGGATGCAGCTGCAAATCACATTTTCATTCCCGTTGCAGTCCCATTTTTGCATTTGATTAGGGTTCACGGGAGGAATATCCTGAATTCCCCTGATTTTTAGTCACTTTATTTTTATGGGTAAAATGATATTTTCAAAGTATTTTAAGTGACCTATTTATTTAATATTATTCTTGATCACTAATTTTCTCTATTTCTTCTTCGAGAACGCCTTCTCGATGCATCTTCTCTTATGTGTGTGAAGTTATGTTACTCTTCTTTTGCACGCAATCCCCCCGTTTCTCCTGCTCCTCCTCCTTCATGCAAAGCTTGTTGTTCTTCTTGTTTTTCTGGATTTTTCTCCACTCTTCTCGGCTTTTATGGTTTTCTTTCCTCTGTTACTAGGGTTTTCTGCGATAACACGTCATCTGGTTTTCTGTTGAGTTTATTGCTTACTTTGAAAACTTCAATTAGTAGTTAGGTTATATTGGGTTTGGGTTTTTAATGTTGGTGACCAATGAACAAAGCTAATCATAATTATTAAGTATGATTATCACTTTAATTTTTTGTATGTTGATATTTTTTAGTATTTATATATTCTCTTTGAATTTCTGTTTGATTTGTATACTGTTTTTTTTTTTGTCTTTGCAATTGCAACTATAGAGCCACTATCAAAGATTATTAACAACACAGGATTACATTGTTTCTCGCTTACAAAGATTTGTATGGAAAACAAGTGAAACACCGGAAACAATTTTAGTCAAGTTTTTTTATGAACAAATCTTTGAAATACAAAACAAGTGATCAGTAATTAAAATTGAAAAGTAAACGGAAATAAAAAACATTATTTGAAACCAAACAGACTATAAAATGTTTTAGAACACATTTATAGGAAAAGTTTGCTCAAAATAGTAAGTACCGATAAAATGTAGATATTTCAACATAATGACCAGAAGCCAATAAATTTATAGAAAAAATTTGCTCAAAATAGTAAGTATGGATAAAATGTAGATATTTCAACATAATGACCAAGAATACAGACCTGTTTATTCTGACCGAAACCAAGACCAGTTACATATTCTTCACTTGCATGTTTTTTCCTCTTCTGAAGGTCTATCGGTTCATCTGTCTTCCTCTTATTATGATATCCTGAATACCAATGTGGCAACATTAGTTTGATGAAATTGGATATGCTAGTGATGCCACAAAAGCAGTTAGTTAACTTGCTCGGATCTGCTTTGAGGATTTATTTTGTTTCGTTCGAAATTCTAATATACTATTTTTTTTATTGAAAACAGGGAAGAAACTTATGTTTTTTTAAGAATGGTTATTCCATACCAAGTGATTTTTGCAATGAAGGAAGTGGTTTGGTAACTCGAGTCCGAGTCTTATCTTCCGCCCGATATCCAATTAGTTTAAAATGAGTATCCCTGCAGAATTTAAAGAGAGACTTGTACATGTCAGATATTAACAGCTTAAAAATAGTAAAACTATTTTATAGTAAAATCACTGTAAGTCCTTATAGTTTTATTAAATCTTTTATCAGATCCTAATACTTTAGCGGTGCATTTAGTGTCTAGGATATGATAACAAGGATCGTTAATTAAAATAGTTTGATTAAACTAGGAGCTGATATGATTTGATAAGCTTTATCCCTTCTAATGATTGAGCACCCAAAAATCCACCAAATAGGTGGCAGCAATAATAGAAGTATGAGTTCAATAATGGCAGTGGTAGTGAAGGATGATACCACTGGTGGCAGCGGGTGTTGAGTGATGGTGATGGTGTTTGGAGTGAAAGCCGAGGGGAGCGGAGGCAATAGAATGTGTCTGGGGAAGAGGTTAAGGGTTCCAAGAACATAGATTGCCTAGCATAGGTAGTGGAGGAAATCGGGAAACAATGACGAGGATGGTGTCGGGAGGCGATTAAGCTGGTGGTGGAGGATGCTGGCCAGGACGTCCCACCATGAGAGAAGTGAAAGAAAAGAGAGGAAAGTAAGAGTAAGGTTGAAAAAGTGAGAAAAAATATGCTAATCATTTCTGACCCAACCCTATATTATTGCCTTAAGGAACTATGGATCACTACTCCTTATATTATTAATTATAATTCTTATCATGGACACCTAAACAACTCTGAACGTTTTAAGCAGAAATGTTATTTTTTAAACATATAAAACCATTTTACTAATATTAGTAATTTAGTAACATAGCTGAGTTATTCCTCATAATTCACTCAAACTTTCAGGTAAGTTCGTATATAATATAATAATGATGGTTAAAGGAGCCTAATTAAAAATCATCAAAAGCAATAGGACACTATTAAAACTTTTAAACCACGAGGATCTCATTGAAAAATCAATGTTCTATAAGGACTAATGGGAAAATTCAATTATTATTTAAGTAATACATGAGTGGTGGTTAAGACTCGACAATTTACCAATTAATCCAAAACAAACACTTGCGTGTTTCAAAAGTGGAGAGTATGTAAGAGTGAGACAGGATGTGGGAGCGGGACAAGCATAAATAGAAAATGCAAGCAAAAACACTATACCAGTACTCCCATGTCATTGACTTTAACCGCGCTTCTAGCTTTTGAAACAAGGAAGTTTTCTCAAAATCTTGTTTATCATGAGTTGGCTCAACAAAATCTGCTTGCATGATACCTATGACAAGGATAACATAGTTAGGACCCCCTTACAGATTCAGTATATCTATAAGAGTTCTGTTATTTTGCAGTGGGACAACAAAAATTGACAATAATCTATAAACGTCAACCAGAAATTGTCGTTGCACAGTAATGAGTTACTCACCAACAACTCCTCTGCCTCTACTGTGTTGATATCTTACAACCTGCCAAAATGGCTAACATATTGAAAAGGCAACAATAACATTAGCATTTGCGAGGTGGAGGGGAAAAGGACACAATACAGGACGATGTTTACGGAGAGAAAGAAATACAAGTAATAAATAGTGCTAAATTTGAATTTTACTTGTCAAGCACTTGATATGCTGTATGAGCATTCAGAATTCAAAGCAACTTATAATGCTCAGTTTTAAAGCTTCAACCAGAGTACTGAAAAAATTGAATGGAAATAAACTCACTTCTTTGGTGTCTTTGGCTTTAAAAAACTGATTTTTACAGTGGCATGTCTCTTGGGTCAATACATGGCCTTCTTTAGATCTTTACAGGCATCTTCTTAATAAAACATGCAGAGATAAAGTTTTCTCATGCAGAGGTTCTATCCTTCTATTTATTTAAAACACTTGTCTTCTAATAAAATATGACTTATCATCTCAAGAAATAAATACAATTTTTAGTTCTCACTGCATGTTTTGTTATCAAACAATATATTCTACCACTGCTAGTCTATCAAACAACCTTTCCTATTTAGTCTTACTTACCAACTAAAATAATCTATTTTGTCATTAAAAAAATTGAAAAGTTAAGGCTCCTGGATTTATGGCACGCGCTCCAATTTGATCTCCTTGTAGATGTTTAACTACAATATATAATCAATTACCATTTCTTTTCCTTATTATTTGATAACAGTTTCTTGTAAGCATAATGTCACTTTTATAACTAATGCGTAGGTCAGCTTCTCAGAAAGGTCCAGGTGCAAGTTGCCCAAAATGCAAGTGAACCTTCTATAGTATGAAAATTAGGGGGTAGGAGGGCCTAATATATTAATATCCATGTATAAAACTAATTATAGCCATGTACAGGGCCTGCAACTAAGACCCGGGCAAGTATGAAAGGTAGAAAATATACTGATGACTTATCATTGTAAAAATATATATTCTGGATTTCATGTGTCTTAGACTCTTAGGAATTTGTATTGGGCCTAAATCAATCTTATAAATCCGGCTTGTAAACTGAGGGCTGCCCCAGCTTTGTAAACACTATACGGACCATATCTCTAGGCAATGTGGGACTAAATTCACCCTTCACACCCAACACAATGTAGGGGTTGCAGGCAGATCGCAATGTAGCGTAGACTATGCGGGAAGCCAACAAAAGATCTAGGATATGCTCTTATGTCATCTTAGGAAATTTGGTTTGGGACTAACTCAACCTTACAAAACCGCTTGTAAAGTGAGGGTTGCTCAAGCATTGTAAACACTACACAAACCATATCTCTAGGTAATGTGGGACTAAAATCCACCCTTTCACACCCATCACAATGAAGGTGTTGGAGGTTGCAATGAAGGCAGCCCAAATGCCGCAATTAGGCGGCAAGGGGAGGACCGCAATGAAGGCATAACAATGTGTATTTAAAAATTCACACAAGGTAATATAATTATGTTTATTTCCTGAATACCATATATACCTTAAAAATACCAATGGATAATAATATCCTGAAACACACTAGTTAACTAAGATATACGGTAATCAGGAAACCCATTTTAAATTGGCAACTCATATGATTATGCCAAACCTATCAGTGCTACCATTCTACATTGATCAAGGTAAATGAAAACTATGTGTGCTGGTTTGACAACCACCCACCTTTTCCAACATAGAAAAGAACACAAAGCAAAGCAATTTGCTTTACGAACCCCAGACAAATATTACAATTTTGCACAACAATTAACCAATCCGTTGATCAATCATCGCATAAAAAAGTTGCCTCCAACCAAGCATGTTATGAAATTTAAGGGTGATAATTACCAGTATCAGCCGATGTTTGTGATATACATTGAAACCATGGATATTGACATGAGGGGCTTCCTTAAGAAATCCAATTGTTACAAAAAGTTCCTACAAAGTGAATCCAAGTAATAATACGAACATTAATAATTTATTATTTGAAGAAATGGGGAAGTATAGCTAGAATAAGATAACATTTCCTCAACAGCAAAAGATAATTATTCCTCTCAACTGATATATACTAATATATAATGAAAAACATTTCAAAAGTTTGAAATAACCTCTACAGGTCCAGCACATTGCGGTGTATATTTGATAAATTCAACAAGTTTAAGATCGTCAGCAATGCTATGTGGCTTCACAGCTTGCCCTCTCAATATAATTTGGAAAGTTTTTGGTAACCGCAAGTACAATATGGACAAGTACACCTGTGCAATATAAGAAAATTAGACTCCGTAAAATTCAACCTTCGATTCAGACCATAGGTACAACTTTAATACTTTAAGCATACACGTAATGAGTAACGAAATGTTTTTGCAATATGTTCCTCTTGGATTCTCTTCCGTGTAGGTATAGTACTGATCTTCTTGACATCCCAAGCAATGCGAATATCCTGCATATGAGAATAAATATATCCATGAGAAAGGAAAATTTCAACACAGGGCTAAAAAGAAAGCCAATAAAGTAAAAATACAACCTTGGGATCTGTATCAAAATCTAACTCCGTAATCCCCTCATCGTTGAACCACAAATTGTAGACAATAACTTTAGTACCGTACGATCCCATGTCTTGAAACTGCATGAGTTATGAATATATAGTGAGCCAAAATAAGCTATATGTATAAATGAGTATCATTTATTTTATATGCAATGTAATCGTGTTATAAAGCTAGCTTAAAAAGTATAGTTGCTAGAAAATGGACTAAATAATTGACGTTGAGAAAAGCTTCGCTCGAACTACAGAGTTGTAAGAGAGGGAAGATGAATGGCATTGGAACTCCCAACTAGCAAAAGAGAGAGATGCTGGATAAATTGGAAGAGTAACGGACCACAAACATGGAGCCGCGGAGGGATTCTCGAAGTCATGGAAAGGACAGAATTGTCAACGAATGACCATGATTGTTGGATGTAATTCATATTCAGAAGATGTTGTTATTCAGAAGCAGTAGAGCTTCTGAGGTTGTTAGTCAGAAATTGTAAGCTTGAGTCTGCTTAGTTAGAAGCAGTAGTTTGATGTAACCAGAAGTTGTTATTAATCAGAAGCAGAAGCTTCTGAGGTTATGTCCAGAAGTATGCTTAGCTTCTGGGGTTCTGGAGTTGAGTTTGTTAGCATAGCTGTTAAGTTTAGCATTTTCTAGTTTGTACCTTTTAACTTAGTAATTAAATTTACTTTTATTAGGGCCTACGTGGTAATTTACTTTGTGTATAAATAGACTAGTAGTAGCTGTCATTTGTAATAGTAACAGTAACAACAATCATTGTTTAATCATTCTTTATTACAACTTTATAGCCGTCATTCTCTTTGCTCTCTTAAACATATTCCTTTGTTCATCATTGATTCTTGTGCACTAACAATGACAAGAACGGAATCACGTGCAACGAAATGGGCAGCGCATGGAAATAATTGAGTGATGGTAGACAAACTTAGAGCTACCAGACCTCAGAGGCAATGAAGTCATTGTTTGGATTAGCAAGATTGAGTGTTTCTTTTATTTGAAAAGAGTACTAGATTAGCAAGACACCTTTAAAAAAGTAAATTTTTTAGGAAATTCAACTAGGAAAAAAGATTTTTCTAGGTGGGGATCTAAATGGGTTGTAGGAAGTGCATCGAGAGGTTTTAAGGGCTTGCATGGGGGTATGGCCGCCTCGAGGAGTTAAATGTGGGTAAATCCATCCTATATTTTCCGTCAACTTTTATTCATACTTGCTAAAGCTAACACGTGCTTTAGAAAAAGAGAGCAGCGTGTTATCACATACAAGAGTGGGGTGACATGTTCTAAAATAGATTTCTTATTAGGAAATCAATCAAAAAGAAAGATTTTATTGGACCGTAAAGACATACCTGACGAGAGCTTGACTACCCAACAAAGTATTGAATATGGATGTAAGGGTTAAGAGGAGAGCAGAGAGAAAAGGCCATAGTAGGGTTCATGGTGACATTTGAAGGTTGAAAAACAAAGAGTCTTCCAACACAAGGTTTAAGATGGGAGTTTTGACGAGCTGCGTGGAAGTGCAAATGATATGTGAGACAAGAAAGCAAAGGGGATTAAAAAAAGTAACAAAAGAGACGTTGTTGGGAGAATATGAGATTTTGGAATTTGGACCTAGAGATAAAGAATCTTGGTGGTGGAAAGAAAGTGTGTAGAATAAGATTAAAGAATCTTGGTGGTGGAAAGAAAGTGTGTAGAATAAGATTAAAGAATCTTGGTGGTGGAAACAAAGAAAGTGTGTAGAATAAGATTAAAACCAATAGGTGCATTGATTTAGGTGTTGCACATCATGTCACTTCAGTCAAATAATTAGTATCTCAACAAATTGGTTTAGACACAACAATAAAACAATTACAATTTGACATTCTAGAGTAATTGAATTGCAGTATAAAGACATGCCAAATTTAAGAAGAAACGAGAATAAAAACAATAGGTATCAAATCAAACAATGTGTGTGATGCTAGGAAGGTATTGCTTACAAAACAAGGAAAAAACAAGTACACTAATCATTGGTTGTTCTGAAGAGTTGACCGATTATCAGGGGTGGAAGGGAAACATAAAAACTGACTTGTTTCAGAAGATCTGCTTCGGATGAATATGGTGACCAACGCAACAGCAATTCTAAATTTGCCATAAAATGTTCTTTGCCATTTAACACATCCAACGATGAAGTTGAGGTATTATACTCATAATTCACCTGAAATTGACAAGATTAGTTAGCAATGTCAGTTGAAACTATTATAATCTTCAGTATATGCAAATTTATCAGCCGAAGAAAAATATAAAAAATGCATCAAATCATCATCTAAAGTAACCCTTTTAGTACCCAGGCTTGTTAAAGTTCAACTTTATATCAAAGAGTGAGGACAACAAAGATCAAACTACTGACTACTTGGCCACAAAGGCCTTGATACTATGTCATGAAGCTAAGGATAGACATTCTAAAATACCAAGTCTCAAACACTTCATATTTAACCGTCAGAATGATTGATGAGAGGAAAATATAGGAAAGTGGGCCCACTAATATCTAGGATAACATTACTACGCTAATAACATGTAAGGAACCAAAAATGGTTAACTTCTATAATATTATATATTCTGGAAGCTACTGATATCAGAAAGGGTAAATTGTATTGCAATGAGTGTTCGAGAAAGGAAAATAATAAAGAGAAAAAGGTCCCCCACTCCCCAGCTAAGAAAATAATCTCTAGCCCCTGGCAATTCAGTTAACAGTCGGGATATCCCCAACATTTTTTCTCCCTTCCCTTCCTACAAAACAACCTATAATCTCTCCATAACTAACTCCCTTCCCCTCCTACACGAACATTGGGCCTCAAGTGATAGCCTTGGGCCGTCAAGTGTAGCCATGTGACCCACTACCACGACTGAGTTGATGACTGTCCGGGTTAGGTGAGATTGATTTGAATCAAAACCTTTATGTAGTAATAAAATGATAATTACCGCTTACCATTGGTACTACTATTCTGTCGAGTTGTGTTTGCATCAGAAATGTATATGACAAAAGTCCAATGCTTTGAGTCAAAATCCTGATCAAGGTATAAACAATAAGAGAAGAGAAACAACATAATAATTTCACTTTTCCGCCATAAATTCACATATTGATGTCTATTTGCAAAGCATTTTAGGCCTCAGTGTCATGTGAAAAGAAAGGTTGTAATAATACAAGTATATAGAATAAATTGGCATTAGACTACAGTAAGTTAAATTCCTAATAGTAGAGAGCAGATTTTCTCTTATTTCTTTTAAAATTATCTCTCTTAAAATTTAGATTGGGTCTAATTCAACCCTACAAAACCGGCTTATAAAGTGAGGACTATCCACCACCTTATAAACACATATCCAGGTCACATCTCGTCCAATGTGGGACTTCACAATTCACCCGCTCACGCCCACGCCCAGAACTAGACACCTGGATTGTGACCCGAGTGGCCCAGTAGCGGGTAGCCCAACGAATTTTGGATAGGCTTGGATACTATCTCAAAATGTGAGCTGGGCTTAACTCAACCAACAAAATTGGCTTATAAGATGAAAAATGCCAACACAACACGTATCCAAGTCACATCTCATTCAATGTGGGACTTCTCCAACAGTTTCAATGCACACCTTATTACATCTTCACATTTCTCTAAGGCTATAAACAAGAGAACAAAATTTGGTGTCTTAATTTTCAGTTTTTCCAATCAGGGAGGGGGGAAGTGGATTTTTTAAAGAATAGATGAATTGGACACACATTTAATATGTACCTCTAAAAATGATCTAAAGGTGGATTCTTACCTTTTTTATTATACTAAAAATTCACTTTTTTACTAAAAATGGAAAGGGTCCACCTTTGATCCTTTTTGGAAGGTCTGTATTAAATGCACCTTTGTAAGCATGGCCTTCAGAATCAGAATGCAAATAATTAATAATAATCATTCTTTCTTGGAGATAGAGCAATGGTTGTATTTGTCATTTGTCAATACAGTAAGAAGCATATTACCTAGACCAAAAACATATCATAAAGTCATACATTCACTTTTTTAACCATACCCATTATTCAGATGGCGACTGAAGACTATAGCATCTGCACCAAGCCTCATACTGCTGGTCTTGAAGCCATTTCCATCTAGAACATCAAATAAAAATAATATATAATACATGAGAGACTTAAGAGAATAACAATTATTGCAGATGTCACAATCCATACACTGTCCAATAGCAAGCTTGGAATTTTTATCTGAAAATCCAAAACTCATGCAGCGACGCATTGCTTCCGAATCCATGCCACCACCATCATCTGATTGCCAAGTGTTGGAACCAAATCAAAACAATTAGAATGATCTTATACAGTGCAAGCATGTTCCCTCGCATAGTAGAAACATAAAACCAAAATTACTTCCAATGACTTATATTGAAGTGGCATACCTTGAATCAACAATGCTGGACTTCCATCTCTTGGATTTGGAATTTTATCTACACTAACAAAGGTTGCCCCATTTTGGATCTATCCTAAGAACAAATGCCAACCGTGCAATATAAAGTACAAACAAAAATCAAACGTAGTTGTGAAATGATGGTTTGCAACAATGAAAAACATAAAAGTGTGAACAATAGATATTAAGGCTTTACAGGTAATCTATGCAACGAAAATTAAAAAATATTGGAATAAACATGAACCAGAGCTACTGAGGCAGAAGAATAACAAAAAAATACTGGCATCTACAGAAGATGAACTATTTCTGGCACAGGGAAATGCCAGTATCTCAAAGCAATAGACAATATACTTTTGGTTAGCAATAGCTAACTCAGTGTGCTACAAATGACAACAGAAAATGACAGACCAACTTACTAGAGTATATGATAGCGCACAGACTAAGGAGAAGGGTAAACCCGTCATTTGGAGGGTTTATCGAAGGAGAAATAAAATAAATAAGTAATATAATATTAATGTGTTAGTTTAAACTCAAATAGTTAGTTATTGGGTAACGTTGTGGATTGTATTTAAGTTGTTGTTTATTGTTTTTTTATATTATGTTGGAAGTTACTAGGCCCGAAGAAGTTATCTTCTGAGAGAGCAGACTGCTCTTGTAGTTTTGCATATTGTATTTCCTTTGAACCAATGAAAAATCGTAAGTTCTTTGCAATTTTCCTTTCTCTATAATTCTATTCTAGTGGGTACTGTTAATCTTATCAAATTGGTCCGACCTACTGGATGCCACCGAAGAAGATGGAGGCCAAAGTAACTTCACTTGAAGAGAAACTCGCAACTTTGGAGGTTTCTTTACATGAAATGCAGAATCAAAATAAAAACAATCAGGAGAAGATCATCTCTTTATTAAATTCGAATAAGGAGAAGGATGGGGGAGACTCATCGCACAATAATGGGTCGGTTGGTACAAAAAAGAAAAATTCGGACTTACATGGTGAAGCTTTGGATGAATTTCGCCTATTTGTGAAGAAGGTGGAATTACCGATGTTTAATGGTGATGATCCCGCTGGTTGGAATGCTAGGGCGGAAGTCTATTTCAATGTGCAGAATACTATACCTGAAATCAAAGTGAATTTGGCACAACTATGCATGGACGGTCCTACAATCCATTTTTTCAAAGGACTGTTGGGAGGAGAATGATACATTGACATGGGAGAATTTAAAAGATGCACTTCTAGAGAGGTATGGTGGTGTAAGTGATGGGAATGTATTTGAACAACTTTTTGCGCTACAACAAGGAACAATTGAAGAATCCATTGAAGATTTTGAGAGGTTGGTAGCACAACCGCCCCGATTACCCAATGACCATATTTGGGTTATTTCGTTCATGGTTTGAAGGAAAAAAATCAGGGGAAAGGTTCGCAGCATGATCGCTATGGGGTCCTATGTCAGAGCGAAGTTAATGAATGTGGCTCGAGCAGTAGAACGTGAATTGGAAGAAGGCGAAGAGACTGGACACCGCAAAGGTCACATGGATCACTATCCCGACTTGTTTTTGGTAATAAGGTTGTCACACAGAATGAAGGCAGAAATGGCGATTGGATTATGGTTCGTAATAATAAAGGCAATTGTGATCGTTTTTCAGGAGGAAAATCAACGGGTGGTCCGCGTGGAATGTCTGGTTTCAGACAAAACAAAACTCATACTGCCAGCACTGGAAATTGGTGTGACAGAACTGTGAGTTTGTCTTCACAGGAGATTGCTTACCGCCGTCAAAAAGGGCTTTGTTTTAAATGTGGAGGTCAGTATCATCCTCGCCATCAATGTCCTGATAAAAATCTGCGTGTTATGGTGCTTGAGGATGACTCTGAAGATGAAAACAAAGTCAGAGTGTTGAATGATGAAGATGTTGAAACAGGTGTAGAAGAATTGCAATTGAATGTGCTGACTTTTTAAAATATATTGACTTTTGATAAACAAACTGAGCAGTCTCAAGATAAGCTTCAATGCATCAAGTTGCAAGGGACGGTAGGAGCGTTACCGGTGCTGATGTTGGTTGATAGTGGAGCAAACAAAAACTCATGTCAAGGCGTCTAGCTTTGGCTTTGGGTTTACGAATTATTGGAACTCCTGCCAGACAAATCAGATTGGGTGACGGTTATGCGGCTCTGACATTAGGAGAGTGCCAAGGTGTTATATTTCTGCTCAAGGGGTAAAATGGGAGATAGATGTTGTGCTGTTTGAGTTGGACGGTTATTAGTATAGGGGGATGGCATGGCTGACACAGATTGGATGCACATACATTGATTGGGTTGAGAATAAAATGCGTTTCACATACCAGGGGGAATGGATTGAGATCAGAGGGGTTCGTACTAGAGAGTGCACTCCATTACAAAACTATGTTGATGAAAACCATTTTGCCCAGTTGCATTATGATATCCAATCAAGTATGGTGACACCAACTCAACAGTTGGAGATGAAATCAATACTGCACAGGTTTGATAATATTTTCAAGGAACCACGAGGATTGCCTCCTGAACCTCAGCAAGAACATGCTATACAGTTGCTGATCGGCCAGGGCCTAGTTAATGTTCGACCGTATCGCTACCCTCACCACCATTAGACAGAAATTGAGAAACAAGTGAAGGAGTTACTGTTGTCCGGTGTGATCAGACCTAGCCAGAGTGCTTTTTCAAGTCCCGTTATTCTAGTCAAGAAAAAGGATGACTCTTGGGATGATGTGTGTGAACTACAGTGCTTTGAATAGGTAACTATTGCGAATAAATTCCCTATTTCATTCATTGATGAGTTACATGGTGCACAATATTTTTCCAAAATTGATCTTAAGTCGGCCTACCACCAAGCACGCATGTGACAAGAAGACATTCATAAAACAACTTTCCGCACTCACGAGGGTCATTATGAATTCTTAGCATTAATGAATTAGCATAAAACAACGATTGGTTTTAACAAATGCTCCATCCACTTTCAAGCAT